GCTGTCTGTGAAAGGTCGAGTATATACTGCGGCCCGAATCTGGTGGGGTAACGGGACGAGCTATGCTGAGGTTAGGTAATCGTGGTCGCCCACTGAAGCAAGTGATCGTCTTCCATAGATGACGCTGGTTGGTGCATGTGTTACGTGTGTCACCAGATAGGGCGAGCGATGTTCGCCGAGGCAGATAGTGGGTTGAAAAAAGCCAAAGGTGGTCAAATGAAGACCTGGCACGAGGGTATGAAAGCCCTAATCAGGAGTCTGGGTGACGTAGATGCCGTTAGCTTCCTTGGCTAGGGACCTCGGAATGATCGTAACCGATGATTAGAGACACTGATTGATATAGCTGGCTATCGTAAGCAGTGGCGTTCGTGCATCTTGTTAAGTTATCTGCAACATTAATCCACTGAAATTCTAAACTTTTTCTTTGATCATACACTTTCAAATTTTCTTGTCTTTCTGCTAATGTACATCCAAATAGGCAGCCAAAAGAGAGCAACCAAAACCTGCGCACGATAGTGCATGGTTAATGATTGTACAAACCGAAAACTGAAACAGCAGACGGAGTGAACCCCATAGTCACAGGGACCTGTTGTTCGGTTATGAAAACCTGCAACCTAAGCCTCGGGACTTGGATTGGCGAACTACATTAGGCCCCGATAGGTTAGGTGTGGTATTGAACCGGGCGACAAATCTGTCTACCACCATAGTTGGGTGGTGGTGGCGGGTCTTAAACCTCGAACCATAGGGTCCAAAGCATGCCAGTAACAGAGACTAAACCACTGCGCGACCACCACCACCACCATATTGGTTCCAATCTTCATGTTCCCTGGCACATACCATTCACCATTTTTGCTATAAATCACTTTGTGTGTATAATCACAAAGTGAAAGATTGCCTTCAAGTCACACTTTTCCTGTGTATAGTGTACAGTCATAAACCTGGTTTGAATTCCATCAGCCTCAAGGGTGATAGTGGTGGCGCAGTGGCTCAGTCACTGTTACCGGCGTGCTTTGGATCCTGTGGACTGTGGTTTGATCCCCGCCACCGCCTCCCGACTTCGGTGGTAGGTAGCTTTGCTGTCGCCCGTTTCAATACCACGCCTGACCTAGCGGGGTCTTAGGAGTTTGCCATTCCAAATCCCGGTGCTTAGGTTGCTGGTTACCTTTACTGTACAGGAGGTCTTCGTGACTATGGGATCCGCCCCGACTGTTGTTCACCACACACAGGTGTAATAAAAAAATTAACATTTTGTCTGAATCGGTGAAAACGTGTTCCAGTACCGTTTTTTGCGCTGCGTTTTAAATGATTCGAGACGCAGTTTCGTGGCCGTCCCGTCGTATCATACTGGGGAGGTAGTTCCGATCAGTAGCGTAGTAATACACTTGAACGAGGATTCGATTACATATAAACGATATTTATCGGGTTAACTTATTTTTACCCACCGGTTTTGGCCTCCCTCAACAAGCTTTGACTCAGCAAAGCTCACGAGTTTTCACCACTCCCTCGTCCCACCTCTGGCGACACCTGCGTTGTGGGACTCGTTCAGAGTTACCAATTCACAGATCGCATTTAGTCCCGAGTAACAGCTTTAGATGTTCAGCCCCCTTGTTCTTTATTTGTTCACCTATTGAAGATGTTCGTTCCACGGACGGCGGTCGTGCAACGTTCTAAACTAATGCCGAACGGGTTAGCATGTGTTTGCTGGTAAATCATTCGGGTGGATAATTAAATAGAAGAAGTGCGTCTCTCATCGATCCGACTACAACTATGTTAAGTTATTGTTTTTTTGTTTTGGGGAGGGGTGTTCTTTATTCATTCTTTACTGTCCTATTTTTTTTTAAATTTCGCACGGTTAATTGCATTTGAGCGATAATGTTATTTGCTGAAATCGGTTTAGCCGGATTGCATTAACGTGTTTTCGTCACCCCTCTCGTTTCTCTTGTAGAATGTTGGCTCAATTGTAATGATGCTAATGTCACTCTCTGCGACTTCAGTGAGGTGGCCGCAGCCCAGGCGTATTTGCTGTTCTATTCCGAACTGATGCCCACTACCCCGTTCCCACCCTGGTTCAATGGTCCACCACACGATGGGGTTTTGAAACGCTGTCAGTCCAATCAATCTCTGGGTCGTTCATCCCAAGACTCTGTGGCGTCCACTTCCGGAACAATCACACAATCTGGATCGAACGAATTGAAAACTTCCAGCGGTATAAAACGTGCTGTTTCCACACCGTCACACTCACTTCAGTTGCGCAGTGCACAGTCCAAACGATCTACAGTCCAGCACATCACGACTGCAATCAGTGAACCCGTGCCACAGACGGTTGGAATTGCTGCTACTTCCGAGACAGTTGGGGGTCTCGGTAGATCCCGAAGTAGTTCACGGCGGTCTGCCACACCGGATGTTCCACTGTAATCTTTGTTTGCTTCGTCACACCACAATCGCATCTCGGCCGAGAATTTGCTGAGCAATATTTCCTATTCCACTCCCCTTTCCCGTCCGGCACCGCAAACCTTTGCCTCTCAATATGTCCTGGTAAATTCGATGTGACTTGGATGGAGATTGTAGTTGATCTTGCTTGGTTGCTGTGCATCAGCCCGTACATGTTTCATGACTTGTATTATATTTCTGTGTTTAGCGTCTTGTTTATTTATGCTTCCTACTCCCCGTCTGTGTTTGTGTTTTTGTATTCCTTTCCTCAAACGAACTGTCGAATTTTGCATAGTTCCACAAAATGTTTTTTGTCCGACAAGTCGGTTATACTTTTTCTACTGCAAACGAACGAACTCTGGTTACCATTCTATCAAAATGTTGAACATACTCGAATTCCCTTTGATGCATAAACACATGCCTGTTCGCATGTTATACGTATTGGCAGCTTCTGTCTACCTATTCTGCCTATTATGGGCCCTTGTATCGTTTTTTTTCTGTCCCCGCTGACTCGACTCGGCTAGCAGCAAACGAACTGAGATCATCGCTAGACCAAAAGACGCATTGGTTTGTTCAACTGAATGTAGTTGACCACTTCTTTGTATAGCCTCCTCTTACCCCCTTCTCTCTTGTCGCATTTTGGTCTTTACATTCAGACGTGACTGCTGTCCGACCAGTAGAGCACCACATATGGCGTCAATCACCATAACTATGGCTAGAAAAAGGTCTCAGTCGTTTGCGATTAGGGAAACTGTTGTTATCTCATTATTCTACCCTTCGCCGCAATCTGTGCTCTTCGATGTGCGAATTGTACCTCGTACTGATAATGCGTGTTGTCATTGGAACTATCTATTATTGCTTTTCATCTGATGTCATGCCCACACACAGGCGATTGCGGCGAATTTCTATATACGCCAGAACTACATGGTCTGTCCACAATGTGTCCTCGCTCTCTGCTTTCTCTTCTTTCTTTGCTATCACTATATATGATATTCTTTTCAGGGCTGAAATTTTCTGTGTGTATTTATACGTAAATCTGACTGATCGGCATAGTATCGAATTAATAATAAACTATCCGTTCAGTAACGTTTTGCCGGCTTTTCCGTTTAACTACTCACAAGTAGTTTGTTATTGGGCAATTATTTTCGCTTTCACCATGGCATTCTTTTTTTGCGGATTTTACTACATTCGTTTGCCGACCCGTTCGATCCAAAGTGCGTGGTTTCTGCATTTTCCTTGCGTAATACAATCTATTCTATACAATTACCAAGATATTGTTTAGACCGGCAGCGACACTTCCGCTGCTACTAAGGCCAAAATATCAACAGTTGTGGCCGAAATTACCTCGGATAGTGTATACGGGCTGATTTATAAATGCGATTCGGCTGACTCTCGTGGTTCACTAGCTTTAAGGAGTGTCTAGTTAGATGTTTTATTGTGGGGAGCGTTTACGAGGTACGACACGGAAAGTTAGTTTGATGCACAAAGTCAGATCTCATCGAATTCGGCGATTTCGTCCACTCAATACGGTCAGCAATGGTTGAACTCCGCGCCCATCGGGCATGGAAGGCGTGTGTATGTTATCACTGTGCCACCCGGCTCCTGACATGGCTGAATCGATCTGCCATTTCGTGTTTATCCACGTGTCTTCTTTAGAGTTAGTCAGTTCATTTTGACCCGACTTTAACGAAGGAGGACATTTAACAAAATTCAAAAACCTTCCTTTCGAGTCTGCGGTGGTTCCGAGTGTATGGTTGACTGAATGAGCTGAGAATGGTGCCTGGAGTCTGACGAATGGTCAGTTCCAATCCATATCAAATATCTCACAAGTAACTGTGAGTCAAATGGGAATTTTTATTAGTCTATCGCGTTGAATTAAGATCGGGCGAAAATCGCTCACTCTCAAACAGGGTATTTATCTTTTGATGAGGCTCTGGAATCGATTATATTGGTTCCTGTGTAATAAAGTTATCGAATCTCGATTGCTGTCTATGTATATTGTACGTTATACGGTTGCACTTGTTCTTCTGTCGAAGGTTGAATTCAAAAACCTGCCTTGTTTGATCCTCGAAAGCGTGTTTCTTGCTCGTATACATTGGGATTTTGGATTATGGTTAATCGGAATTTACATGAGTTTTGTACCATGTCATGAAAATCAGTGCTTGGAGGAGGTGTCCATCGTTTTTAAACGTCTCATTTGGGAACTGTTCCGCGGGGCAATCGAACTAAGCACGGTTCCCTGCCATTCTTTTCTTTCTTCGTTCTCACATGTTTATCATCTGGTTTGCGCCACGTGGTAGTTTAGTCTCTGTCATCAGTGTGCTGTGGACCCCTATGAACGGAGGATAGAGCCCCGCCACCAACAGTAAGCAACTTTGCTGTCCTCCGGTTCAATACCACGCCCAATCTAACCTGGACCTTGCGTGGTTCACCAATCCAAGTCCCGCTGGGTTTGGGTTACCATGACTGAACAACAGGTTCTCGAGACTAGGGGGTTTACCCTGTCTGCTGTTCATCAGTCTAAGGTGTTTAGTAAAAATAGGTGTCCCCAGCATCGTTCGAACGGTTAAAATTCAATTACATCTCCAACCCTGGCACACCCGAGTGCAATCTACAAACTGTTCCTTTTGGTGTAATAAGGAAATTATGTACTGGTAGTTGACAGTTCGGTTCGTTTGTCTTCTCCAGACGTGTGTTGAAACGAGATAACGACCTTATGAATGGTGGGTTGACTTTATCATTTCACAGTACCGTTAGTAGTAGACTACATTGATGCTTTTCAAGCAGAGCGTTTGACAATGGAAAACTTGACCTTGGATGCTGTCACTGCTCGTTCGCAGTCGTTCATTCGCCAGAGTAGAAACTGGTCACCAATTTGGACTCGCTCGCATCTCTCCTTCGGGTCTCCGCAATCAGATCACCAATTTCTCACACTCCCGACGATTACCTCTGATCGATATCCAACAAGCTAATACGTGGAACATTTTGAGAATCCCATGCTTCGCGTCTGAAAAAACGAGCCTGTCAGTACACATCCAACCGGATTCCGATTGTAGTGACTTCAAAAATATCTTCGAAGAAGATCGAAATATGCTCCACATTACCTCGTGATTTTGTTTGTAAGAAAAACTCAGCTCTAACAACTAACTCGTTGGCATTGCCTGATAAATCAAAATGTTCACGTTAGGTTGCGGGGTTTTACTATCGTTTCAAAGCGGCTAATGTTTGTGGAAAAGAGATTGAGACCGT